ACAGTTTATAACATTAATGTGCACCACAGTTTATAACGTTAATGTGCACCACAGTTTATAACGTTAATGTGCACCACAGTTTATAACATTAATGTGCACCACAGTTTATAACATTAACGTGTACCACAGTTTATAACATTAATGTGCACCACAGTTTATAACGTTAATGTGCACCACAGTTTATAACATTAATGTGCACCACAGTTTATAACGTTAATGTGCACCACAGTTTATAACATTAATGTGCACCACAGTTTATAACATTAATGTGCACCACAGTTTATAACATTAATGTGCACCACAGTTTATAACGTTAATGTGCACCACAGTTTATAACATTAATGTGCAGCACAGTTTTTTTTAAATTCTCCTTTAAACTACTACTACTAGTTTGATGGTTAAAGCCATCAATTGTCCCATTAACAATCACCCATATTAGAAAACCTATTTCGTTTCAAACTTCTAATTTCTCTAGTATAGGCTACTTATCGTAATGAACGATATCAGAAAAATGCCTAAGCGATAAGTGATCAGTATGGTCGTTATGGTCGGTGTCGATCATTTTCTGTTTATCCTCCCAGCTAATAGACACTTTGTTTGGTGTGTGTGTGCGTGTTCATACATAAATTATGCTGTGTGTGTGTGTGTGTGTTTGTGTTGCTGGCTCTATTTTGGAACCGACTGAGAGGTGACCTGGCCTGGATTTGTGATTACAGCAGTGTTTCTGCCGCATTACTGCAGCTCTACTGTAACTTGTCTACCAGTAATGGATGATCAGGCTAGACCTAGTTACTGCTGGATGTTGAAACCAGCCAGTGATAACATGAGGGCTGTGGGGGGGTTATATTAAAGAGATGGCCATTATTACTGGCTCAGAACAATGTGTGTGTGTTTATACTCCCCTGATGTTTATGGTCTTAAGACTGGTTTAAGGCCTGTGTGTGTGTGTGTGTGTTTAAGTTCTGTGGAGGGGTTTAAGGCCATAGTGTGTGTTTATCCTCGTGGAAAGAGAGAGGGGTCAACAGGGTGAAATCAATAGAGATCCTTAATGAGCTGTCTGAAGAGACAGAAGGAGAGAGAGAGAGAGAGGAATGGAGGGGGGAGAGGGAGGAATGAAGAGGGGAGAGGGAGGAATGGAGGGGGAGAGGGAGGAATGGAGGGGGAGAGGATGGAATGGAAGGGAGAGGGAAGAATGGAGGGGGGAGGGAGGAATGGAGGGAGAGGGAGGAATGGAGGGGGGAGGGAGAGGGAGGGAGGAATGGAAGGGGAGAGGAGAGGGAGGAATGGAGGGGGGAGGGAGAGGGAGGAATGGAGGGGGAGAGGGAGGAATGGAGGTAGGGAGGGAGAGGGAGGAATGGAGGGGGGAGTGTGGAATGGAGGGGGAGAGCGAGGAATGGAGATGGGAGGGAGGAATGGAGGGGGGAGGGAGAGGGAGGAATGGGGGGAGGGAGAGAGTAAAGGGTCTGAATAATATTAAGAAATGCTATAGATGGAAGGAAAGTAGTGTCGAAACCTACCAAAAAACAATTAGGCAACAACAAATTCAATCCCTTTTAGACAACTTCCTGGACAAAACGTTCCACTGTAATAGTGAAGGTGTAAACTTGGCAGTAGAAAACCTAAACAGTATATTTGACCTCTCAGCTTCCTTATCAAATCTAAAAAATCTATAACAGAAAACCGAAGAAAAGTAACAACAATGACAAATTGTTTGATGAAGAATGCAAAAACCTAAGAAACAAATTGAGAATCCTATCCAACCAAAAACATAGAGACCCAGAAAACCTGAGTCTACACCTTCACTATGGTGAATCACTAAAACAAGACAGAAATACATTACGGAAAAATAAGAAACAGCATGTCAGAAATCAGATCAATGTAATTGAAGAATCCATAGACTCTAACCACTTCTGGGAAAATTGGAAAACAAACAACAACACGAGGAGCTATCTATCCAAAATGGAGATGTATGGGTAAACCACTTCTCCAATCTTTTTGGCCCTATAACAAAGAACAAACAGCAAAAACATATACATGATCAAATGCAGATCTTAGAATCAACTATTAAAGACTACCAGAACCCACTGGATTCTCCAATTACATTGAATGAACTACAGGACAAAATACAAACCCTCCAACCCAAAAAGGCCTGTGGTGTTAATGGTATCCTCAATGAAATGATAAAATATACAGACCACAAATTGAAATTGGCTTTTTACCAAATTACCTTACGACAGACCACGTATTCACCCTGAACACCCTAATTGACAAACAATCCAACCAAAACAAAGGCAAAGTCTTCTCATGCTTTGTTGATTGCAAAAAAACGTTTGACTCAATTTGGCATGAGGGTCTGCTATACAAATTGATGGAAAGTGGGGTTGGGTGAAAAACATACGACATGTACACAAACAACAAGTGTGCGGTTAAAATTGGCAAAAAAACACAAGGATGCAGTTTAAGCCCCACCCTCTTCAACATATACACTACCGTTCAAAAGTTTGGGGTCACTTAGAAATGCCCTTGTTTTTGAAAGAAAAGCATTTTTTTGTCCATTAAAATAACATAAAATTAACAGTGTAGACATTGTTAATGTTGTAAATAGCTATTGTAGCTGGAAACTGCAGATTTTTGATGGAATATCTACATAGGTGTACAGAGGCCCATTATCAGCAACCGTCAGTCCTGTGTTCCAATGGCACGTTGTGTTTGCTAATCCAAGTTTATCATTTTAAAAGGCTAATTGGTCATTAGAAAACCCTTTTGCAATTATGTTAGCACAGCTGAAAACTGTTGTGCTGATTAAAGAAGCAATAAAACTGTCCTTCTTGAGACTAGTTGAGTATCTGGAGCCTCAGTAATTGTGGATTCGATTACAGGCTCAAAATGGCCAGAAACAAAGAACTTTCTTCTGAAACTCGTCAGTCTATTCTTGTTCTGAGAAATGAAGGCAATTCCATGCGAGAAATTGCCAAGAAACTGAAGATCTCGTACAACGCTGTGTACTACTCCCTTCCCAGAACAGCACAAACTGGCTCTAACCAGAATAGAAAGAGGAGTGGGAGGCCCCGGTGCACAACTGAGCAAGAGGACAAATGCATTAGAGTGTCTAGTTTGAGAAACAGACGCCTCACAGGTCCTCAACTGGCAGCTTCATTAAATAGTACCCGCAAAACACCAGTCTCAACGTCAACAGTGAAGAGGCGACTCCGGGATGCTGACCTTCTAGGCTGAGTTGCAAAGAAAAAGTAATTTCTCAGACTGGCCAATAAAAATAAAAGATTAAGATGGGCAGTCTGAGATATGGATTTTTCTTCGCAACTGTATATTATTATTATGACTACTGAATAACCACAGCAAGCTATAGTAAATGTAGGTTAAGCTGTACTGGCTGTAGATTAGAAGGCGTGGTCAATAGGATCCACTGACTAAATTAATCATGTTATTTGAAAGAAAGCGGAAGGTAAATAATGAATCAAGTGGATACAGTAAGAGAAAGGGAAAGGGGGATACCTCGTCAGTTGTACAACTGAATGCATTCAACTGAAATGTGTCTTCTGCATTTAACCCAACCCCTCTGAATCAGAGAGGTGCAGGGGGCTTCCTTAATCGACATCCACTTCTTCGGCGCCCAGGGAGCAGTGGGTTAACTGCCTTGCTCAGGGGCAGAACGACAGCTCGGGGATTCGATCCAGCAACCTTTTGGTTACTGGCCCAACGCTCCTACCCGCCACTATAGGAACTAAAGCAGGACTGCCCTGATAATAAAGGAACATCCTCGTCCGTCCCTGCTGCCTGATTCAAAGCACTCTGCCCCTTTATCAGACAATTAGGATTTGCTGTAGTCAGTAGCATCACGCAGGGCAAACACACACACACACACACACACACACACACACACACACACACACACACACACACACACACACACACACACACAAACATACAGTTACATAACAGGCTTCTGATGGTGCATATGTTCCCTGCTCCTCTTCCCCAAGAGGCTCACACACACACACACACACACACACACACACACATACACACACACACTCTACACACACAATCTACATCTGTAATCTTCTCTTTTAGCTTACATCTCATTTTTATCATTTCATAATGCATGAGGTATCTCTGGCAGGAGGCACATGCATTATGTGGGATTTGAAGGCTTAATAACTGGAGGAAAGTGTTTTGGTTATTTTTAGTGTTGCTCTATGATGAGCTAGTATTTGAGCGTGGTTGTACCATACGGTGTTTGTGTACTATGCTATTGTCTCACAAACAGCTTGGAACTCAATTACTTATTACTACTAGATCACAGTTTAGGTGGCTCAAGTAAAAACGTGTTTAATTTTTCCATTTGGTGTGTTGTGAAAATTCTAAAGGTTTTTAGGTGGGTCATTGACTGCACAAAACTGCCTCGAGACACACACACACACACACACACACACAGCTGATGACAGAGAAGAGACACATGTCAAGTCATGCTCTGAGAGAGGAGAGCTAAAGCCAGACAGGAGGAGTATGGCTGGAATTCACATCAACAACAGACTAATAACTAGGGTAAAGACAAGGGAGAAATACTGAGGAAGACAGAGGGAACGGGACAACCTAATAAAGCATCATGATAATAGTTATTATTGTTTATTAACCACTAGAGATAAGGAGTTAAGTGATCAGATGAATAGAGGAAGACAGACAAGAGACAGTCAGCTGAATACATACTGTAAGCAACCAGATAAAGTGTGGACTTAGTCTTGGATCTGATGGTTTATTGCCAAAGAGATAAGATGTTACAGAGTACAGTTAGAAGGTGAATAGGAGGTTGTCATGGTGATTATGGTTCATGATGCCAAAGATGATATTTTACAGGGTTCTGAATCAGATGACAGTTTGTTTATATCCATTCTCTGTTTCTCAACCTCTTTCTTCCTCTCTTCTTTCCTCTCTTCCTCTACCTCAAGAGTTCCCCGCGTGGCCACCCTGTCCTGTAACCAATGGCAACGTCGGTCCAGGCCCTTCCTCTGACCCGCGACCCCAGCAAGACATTCCGTGACCCCTACTCGACCCCTACCCGGCCCACAGCCCTACTGGCCCGGTGCAGTATGGGTAGTTTAGGCAGCCTAGTGGAGCGCCCGGACGCATCCCCAGCTAAAGGCAGCCGGGCCGTGCCCCAGGTGGGACCCAGGCAGACCAACAGGTTATTAAAGAAAGGCTTCAACCAGAGAGAGCTGCTCAACTACCTCAACATCACCAGGTTAGTGAGCTCTCGGATAGGCACAAAATGGCTTCCGTGTTTCATCAACATCACCAGGTTAGTGAGCTCTCTGATAGGCACAACATGGCTGCTGTGTTTCATCACCCAGATGGGTGCTACATTAGAGAGTCTATGTATTCTCTGTGTATTCCATAAAGTGCAGACAAAGCGGTAAAGAGTTGTCTGTTTCAAATAGAAGGCATTAATGATGCTCTTGGGTAATAACATCACGTGTGAGTCCATAGCAGTGTTGTTAGTGCTACTGCCAGGTGGGTGCCACACAGAATGAACTGGTAGGAGGTGTGACTGACATATTTGTGAAGTAGGCTATTACAATGTAACGTTGAAGCTAGATGAAATAGAAATCATTTTCATAGGTTTTAAGTACAGTGAAATGCCTGTCTTGCAAACTCAAATAGAAATAGAAATCATTTTCATAACAAGCTGTTATCATTCAGGGGAACAGGTTATCAATTGACTTGAAGCCTGAATGAAAACCTTTATAATGATCCCCACCAGGAAAGAGGCCAAAGTGGGTAGCGGCCCAGGAAGCAGTAGGAAGGACATCTTCTCCAGCATGCAGTCCATTAAGAGAGAGCATGGACATGAGGAGGAACATATCAAGCTCTACCACAAAGACGGAACTGAGGTGGACGTGTCAAAGAACTCACTGCCCATTGGAGGGAAATATGAGAAGGTGAGAAGAACGCCTGGTCATGGGAAAACATATAGGGATGATATCCCTGGGACAACATATAGGGATGATATCCCTGGGACAACATATAGGGATGATATCCCTGGGACAACATATAGGGATGATATCCCTGGGACAACATATAGGGATGGTATCCCTGGGACAACATATAGGGATGATATCCCTGGGACAACATATAGGGATGATATCCCTGGGACAACATATAGGGATGATATCCCTGGGACAACATATAGGGATGATATCCCTGGGACAACATATAGGGATGATATCCCTGGGACAACATATAGGGATGGTATCCTGGGACAACATATAGGCATGAACACGTACAACTGCAGTTATTATCTCTTCTATCCAAACTGATTATTATTTTAGCAACAATAACACACTTTGACATTGTACTCTGTTTTAAAAAGCTCCTTCAAAGGACGTCCAGACCGAGAACGTCCTTTAATACTCTAAAGCCAACATGTCTCTCAGACAAAGAACGTCATTTAATACTCTAAAGCCAACATGTCTCTCAGAGAACGTCCTTTAAAACTCTAAAGCCAACATGTCTCTCAGACAAAGAACGTCCTTTAATACTCTAAAGCCAACATGTCTCTCAGAGAAAGAACGTCCTTTAATACTCTAAAGCCAACATGTCTCTCAGACAGAGAACGTCCTTTAATACTCTAAAACCAACATGTCTCTCCAGACAGAGCAACGTCCTTTAATACCTCTAAAACCAACCATGTCTCTCAAGACAGAGAACGTCCATTTAATAATCTTAAAACCAACATTCTCTCAGACAGAGACGTCCTTTAATACTCTAAAACCAACATGGCTCTCAGAACCGAGAACGTCCTTTATACTCTGACCACATGTTCTCTCATGACAGAGAACGTCTTTAATACTCTGAAAACCCACATGTCTCTCAGACAGAGAAACGTCCTTTAATACTCTCAAACCAACATGTATCTCAGACAGAGAACGTCCTTTAACTACTCTAAAAACAAACATCATGTCTCTCAGAACGAGAACGTCCTTTAATACTCTAAAACCAACATGTCTCTCAGACAGAGAACGTCCTTTAATACTCTAAAACCAACATGTCTCTCAGACAGAGAACGTCCTTTAATACTCTAAAACCAACATGTCTCTCAGACAGAGAACGTCCTTTAATACTCTAAAACCAACATGTCTCTCAGACAGAGAACGTCCTTTAATACTCTAAAACCAACATGTCTCTCTGGCAGATCACCCTGGCTTCCTACTCCCTACAACTAACTATAGTTTGAAGAATGGGCTGTATCACTGCGTCACTGGCAGCACTAGATGAACGACGTCCCAGTGGTGGCTGTGTGTGTTGTGTGTAGGAGACATAATGAAATGCTACCAGTTATTATAAATTGGCCTGCATTAGTCATTTATAAGGACCATGTATCAATAAGATGACAACGCCTCTCCCTGCAGTCTCTATCTGGTGTAAATCACACACACACAGTCCCTCCAGCTCTCCTTGTAAAGATTGAGTAGTGCTGTAGGGTGAATGTATCTCATCCAGGCTGGATGTAGAACATCAGGCCTGAGAAACAACATGGAGAGAGCAGAGAGCTGAAAAAACGATTGATTTAATAGAAACCTTGTGAGTAATAGTGATTTATAGAGCTTGGCCTGAATACACCACCTCTCTGGCTGTCTGTCTCTCTATACCTCTCTGCCTGTCTGTCTCTCTATACCTCTCTGCCTGTCTGTCTCTCTATACCTCTCTGCCTGTCTGTCTCTCTATACCTCTCTGCCTGTCTGTCTCTCTATACCTCTCTGCCTGTCTGTCTCTCTATACCACTCTGCCTGTCTGTCTCTCTATACCTCTCTGCCTGTCTGTCTCTCTAGTAGCTTCTGGCTGTCTGTCCTCTTATATCCTCTCTGCCTTCTGTCTCTCTATACCTTCTGCCTTCTGTCTCGCTATACTCTCTGGCTTTCCTGTCTCTCTATCCCTCTCTGCCTGTCTGTCTCTCTATACCTCTCCCGCCTGTCTGTCTCTCTATACCTCTCTGCTGTCTGTCTCTCTATACCTCTCTGCCTGTCTGTCTCTCTATACCTCTCTGCCTGTCTGTCTCTCTATACCTCTCTGCCTGTCTGTCTCTCTATACCTCTCTGCCTGTCTGTCTCTCTATACCTCTCTGGCTGTCTGTCTCTCTATACCTCTCTGCCTGTCTGTCTCTCTATACCTCTCTGGGCCCGTCTGTTCTCTATACCCTCTGCCTGTCTGTCTCTCTATACCTCTCTGCCTGGCTGTCTCTCATACCCTCTGCCTGTCTGTCTCTCTATACCTCTCTGCCCGTCCCGTCTCTCTATACCTCTCTGGCTGTCTGTCTCTCTATACCTCTCTGCCCGGTCTGTCTCTCTACCCTCTGGGTGTCTGTCTCTCATACCTCTCTGCTGTCTGTCTCTCATACCTCTCTGCCTTCTGTCTCTCTATACCTCTCTGCCTTCGTCTCTCTATACCCTTGCCTGTCTGTCTCTCTATACTCCCCTGGCCTGTCTGTCTCTCTATACCTCTCTGCCTGTCTGTTCTCTATACCTCTCTGCCTGTCTGTCTCTCTATACCTCTCTGCCCGTCTGTCTCTTAACCTCTCTGCCTGTCTGTCTCTCATATACCTCTCGGCTGTCTGTCTCTCTATACCTCTTGCCGTCTGTCTCCTATACCTCTCGGGCCCGTCTGTCTCTCTATACTCTCTGCTGTCTGTCTCTCTATACCCCTCTGGCCCGCTGTCTCTCTATACCTCTCTGCCTGTCTGTCTCTCTATACCCTCTGCCTGTCTGTCTCTCTTACCTCTCTGGCCCGTCTGTCTCTCTATACCCTCTGCCTGTCTGTCTCTCTATACCTCTCTGCCCGTCTTCTTCTATACCTCTCTGCCTGTCTGTCTCTCTATACCTCTCTGCCTGTCTGTCTCTCTATACCACTCTGCCTGTCTGTCTCTCTATACCACTCTGCCTGTCTGTCTCTCTATACCTCTCTGCCTGTCTGTCTCTCTATACCATCTCTGCCTGTCTGTCTCTCTATACCTCTCTGCCTGTCTGTCTCTCTATACCTCTCTGCCTGTCTGTCTCTCTATACCTCTCTGCCTGTCTGTCTCTCTATACCACTCTGCCTGTTCTTCCTCTATACCTCTCTGGCCTGTCTGTCTCTCTATCCCTCTGCCTGTCTGTCTCTCTATACCTCTCTGCCTGTGTCTCTCTATAAACTTCTGGCTGTCTGTCTCTCTATACCTCTCTGCCTGTCTGTCTCTCTATACCACTCTGCCCGTCGTCTCTCTATACCCTCTCCTGTTGTTCTCTATTACCTCTCTGCCTGTCTGTCTCTCTATACCTCTCTGCCTGTCTGTCTCTCTATACCTCTCTGCCTGTCTGTCTCTCTATACCTCTCTGCCTGTCTGTCTCTCTATACCTCTCTGCCTGTCTGTCTCTCTATACCTCTCTGCCTGTCTGTCTCTTATACCTCTCTGGCTGTCTGTCTCTCTTTACCTCTCTGCTGTCTGTCTCTCTATACCCTCTCTGCTGTCTGTCTCTCTATACCTCTCTGCCTGTCTGGTCTCTCTATACCACTCTGCCGTCTGTCTCTCTATACCTCTCTGCCTGTTGTCTCTCTTATACCTCTCTGCCGGTCTGTCTCTCTATACCCTCTTTCCTGTCTGTCTCTCTATACCCTCTGCCTGTTTTGTCTCTCTATACCTCTCTGCCTGTCTGCTCTCTTACCTCTCTGCCTGTCTGTCTCTCTATACCCTCTGCCCGTCTGTCTCTCTATACCCCTCTGCCTGTCTGTCTCTCTATACCTCCTGCCTGTCTGTCTCTCCTTTACCCCTTTCCTACCCGTCTCTCTATACCTCTCTGCCTGTCTGTCTCTCTATACCTCTCTGCCTGTCTGTCTCTCTATACCTCTCTGGCTGTCTGTCTCTCTATACCTCTCTGCCTGTCTGTCTCTCTATACCTCTCTGCCTGTCTGTCTCTCTATACCTCTCTGCCTGTCTGTCTCTCTATACCTCTGGCCTGTCTGTCTCTCTATACCTCTCTGCCTGTCTGTCTCTCTATACCTCTCTGCCTGTCTGTCTCTCTATACCTCTCTGCCTGTCTGTCTCTCTATACCTCTCTGTTCTGTCTCTCTATACCCCTCTGCCCGGGCTGTCTCTCTATACCCTCTGGCCCGTCTGTCTCTCTATCCACTCTGCGTCTGTCTCTCTATACCTCTCCTGCCTGTCTTTGTCCTCTCTTTTTTCCCCGCCTCCCTGTCTCTCTATACCTCTCGCCTGTCTGTCTCTCTATACCCTCTGCCGTCTGTCTCTCATACCTCTCTCCTTGTCTGTCCCCTCTTACCTCTCTGCCTGTCTGTCTCTCTATACCTCTCTGCCTGTCTGTCTCTCTATACCTCTCTGCCTGTCTGTCTCTCTATACCTCTCTGCCTGTCTGTCTCTCTATACCTCTCTGCCTGTCTGTCTCTCTCATTCCTCCCTGCCTTCTGTCTCTCTATACCTCTCTGCCTGTCTGTCTCTCTCATCCTCTCTCCTGTCTGTCTCTCTATACCTCTCTGCCCTTTTGTCTCTCTATCTCCCTGGCTCTGTCTCTCTATACCTCTCTGGGCCCGTCTGTCTCTCTATCCCACTCCCCTGTCTTCTCTTAACCTCTCTGCCGGTCTGTCTCTCTATTTCTCCTGCCTTCTGTTTTCTCATAACCTCTCTGCCTGTCTGTCTCTCTATTCTCGCCTGTCTGTCTCTCTATACCTCTCTGCCCGTCTGTCTCTCTATTTTTCTCTGCCTTCCCCGTCCCCTCATACCTCTCTGCCTGTGTCTGTCTTTTTCTTACTCCTGGCTTCTGTCTCTCTATACCTCCTGCCTGTTGTCTCTCTATAAATCTCTCCTTCTGTACTCCCCCTATACCCTTGCCTGTCTGTCTCTCATCTCTCTGCCTTCCCCGTTTTCTATACCCTTGCCTGTCTGTCTCTCTATTTTTCCTCTCTCTTTCCCCTGCCCCTCCTCATTTTTCCTGGTACCCGTCTCTCTATACCTCTCTGCCTGTCTGTCTCTCTATTTCCCTCGCTTCCCCTCTCTATACCTCTCGCCTGTCTGTCTCTCTATTTCCTCTGCCCGCTGTCTTCTATACCTCTCTGCCTGTCTGTCTCTCCCCGACTACCTCCTACCCCTCTGCCTGTCTGTCTCTCTATTTCCCCACCTCCCTGTCCTCTCTAACCCTCTGCCTGTCTTCTCTCCCCATTCCTCCCTGCGCTACTCTCTATACCTCTCTGCCTGTCTGTCTCTCTATTCCTCTTGACCTCCCCGTCTCTCTATAAACCCCTCTGCCTGTCTGTCTCTCTATTTCCCCTGCCTTTCCCCTTTTTACCTCTCTGCCTTTTTGTCTCTCTATTCCCCCCTGATGACTGTCTCTCTATACCTCTCTGCCTGTCTGTCTCTCTCTTTC